TCTGCAGGAGCTGCTGGAGACAGGGTTTGAGGGCAGTCTATGGCTGTGGCTCGGCAGCAGCAAGCGCGGTGTAACACTCAACTGCGCATGCACAGCACTTGAGCTGCAGTACCGCATTTTTATCGCCTGGCAGCAGCAGAGAGCACGGCATAACGCTCAAATGCGCATGCACAGCTCCTGCGCTGCAGTAACGGCTTTTGCTCACTGGAGGGCAGCAGCGAGCGCGGTGTAACACCCCACCGCGCATGCACAGCGTCCGTTCTGCAGTAGCGAGGTTTGCTCGCCGGGCGGCAGCACCGAGCACGGCGTAACGCTACTCAGCGCATGCGCCGTACTTCAGCTGCAGTACCGGCTTTTGATCACCGGGCGGCAGCTGAGTGTGGTGTAACGCTCAACGGCGCATGCGCGGCACTTGAGCGGCAGTACCGCTTTTTAGTCGCCAGGCGGCAGCAGCGAGCGCGGCGTAACGCTAAAATGCGCATGGGGGCGCTGGAGCGGCAGTACCGGCTTTTTTCATCAGCAGGCGGCAGCAGCGAGCGCGGCGTAACGCTAAAATGCGCATGCGCGGCACTTGAGCTGCTGTACCGCTTTTTAGTCGCCGGGCAGCAGCAGCGAGCGCGGCGTAACGTTAAAATGCGCATGCGCTGCACGTCAGCTGCAGTACCAGTTTTTGATCACCAGGCGGCAGCAGAGAGCGCAGCATAACGCTAATCGGCGCATGCGCGGCACCTGAGCTGCAGTACCGGCTTTTGATCGCCCGGTGGCAGCAGTGAGCGCGGCATAACGCTAATCAGCGCATGCGCAGCACTTGAGCTGCAGTACCGGCTTTTGATCACTGGGAGGCAGAAGAGAGCGCTGTGTAGCCCTCAAATGCGCATGCGCGGCACTTGAGCTGCAGTACCGGCTTTTGATCGCCGGGCGGCAGCAGCGAGTGCGGCGTAACGCTCAACAGTGCATGCGCGGCGCTTGAGCTGCAGTATTGCATTTTGGTCACCAGGCGGCAGCAGCGAGCGCGATGTAACCACCGCGCATGAGCGGTGCCCGTCCTGTAGTACCGACGTTTGATCACCGGGCGGCAGCAGTGAGCGCGGTGTAACACCCCTCCGCCCATGCGCTGCGACCCTAGTGCAGTACTGGCTTTTGCTCGCCGGGCAGCAGCAGCGAGTGCGGCGTAACGCTCAACTGCGCATGAGCCTTGCTGGAGCGGCAGTACTGCATTTCGGTCGCTGGGCGGCAGCAGCGAGGGCAGGGCCACGCGCTCTCGGGGCGCGGCCGCGCGGCTTGTCGGGGACCGGGCGCAGCGGGAAGCCCGCAGAAAACCACACGAAACCGGCAACAACACTACACCTCGTGCTGCGCCGCGGGGGCCGCGGCGGTAGCAAGGACTACGCCGCTCCGCATTCGCCCGAGAGCCATGCGGTTGCCCGGCATCTACACCCCCAAAAAATAC